GTAAAAAAATTAAATTAAAAAAGAAGCCTGGTAAAAACGGCTAAGGCACGCCAAAATAAGCCAAAGCCTAAACCTGTGCTTGGAGAAAAGGCATATATGGGGACGGTTGCGTACCTGCATGAAATAGAAGACGAACTTGCACATGAACTTGCCGAACATCCAGTCGTTTGTGGCGAAGATGATGGCGGTGAACGGCACACAGCACACCAGGAACGACAGGTCAACCACGGCCAGGTTCAGCAGGTAGTAGTTCGTCACCGTCTTCATCTGACCGTACCTGGGGAGGGAACAAGGAAGGACAGGTCAACCACGGCCAGGTTCAGCAGGTAGTAGTTCGTCACCGTCTTCATCTGACCGTACCTGGGGAGGGAACAAGGAAGGACAGGTCAACCACGGCCAGGTTCAGCAGGTAGTAGTTCGTCACCGTCTTCATCTGACCGTACCTGGCGAGGGGAACAATTACATGGTTGATAAAGCCTCATTCATTCATTCATTCATTTTTTTTTATATTCCAACTTGTAATCACAAGACGTGGTAACAGCACACTGAAATGTTCTTAATGCCACCATTAATACAGGGGACAATACAATACTCATTTACACCTGAGAGATGTTAGGAAAGTCGTGTAAAGTGCCTTTCCCAAGGGCACAAGATCGGTGGCATGTCAGGACTCGAATTTGGGACCTCTAAGTTCTACCCTAGCCCTCATGGCATCAATGAAGACCGATTTGAACATTTCATCTCAAACAAACAAACAAACAAACAAACACGTACCTTGCGATGACGTATATGACCAGGCCGTTCCCGGTGACGCCCACCAGAGTAATGATAGAGAACACCAGCGGTACGGCCCATGCCTCTGCTCCTAACTGTAGCGGGTCAACAGCGACCCCTGGTGGCTCCGCTGGGAACAACAGCATACATGATTCTTGATTATATGATTGGCATATGATGCATGATGCAAAAGTATGATTCATAGGACACCGAAACGCACAAAACGTAAAAAAATGCTGGATATTTCATATTTCAGTTGAAGAAAGTCCTTTTCTTTCTCTAGAGGTATTGCAGTTTTCTATATATCAATGCGGTGCTGTGATTCAAAGTGCAAAAATTAATAACTTGAATTTTAAACAAGCCTGGTACATGTATGTTGACACAGGCCACTCTCCAAGCTGAGGAGACCTACTCAAGTACAAGTAAGTACTGGTATGTTGACTTCATGACTTCTATCATAAGATGCCTATGCCTGAAAAAAATCCGAAGACCAGCAAATCGAATGTATGGCCTAAGTCTAAGAATAAGAATAATCAAAAGTAAGAGGCATAGAACGTTGGCATTTGATTTACCTGGTATACCTGGCGTACTTAGAACGGCGTTCGGCGTCACGAACAAGCCCGGCACACCTGGCGTACTCTGGATGACGTTCGGAGTGACGAAGGAGTCCAGTTCCCACGTCACGTTGTCTAGGAGACCGGTCGTGTCGTTAGGACCCGCCATCTTCGGTTAGTGTTCCCGCGCAGTGACGACACTGCGCCTGTAGGGTGGAATGGAAAAGACAGGCCCAGTTTTAGTTAAAGCGATATTATGTTAGATTTTCACTATTTCAAACATCGTCGTTTTACACATTTTATTGTGCTACAAGCCTACCTGGGTTCATAATGACATTAGGGAAGTAAAAATGCCACAAAAACGTATTGGAAAAAGGCCAACTCCTTGGCTTGTTTACCGCTGTTTGTTTACATTGTTTTTAGGAGCCTCGTAAAAATACAGCGGCCTGGTGCAACTTATTCTCGCGCTGCGCTGAGTCGCCGGAAAAGCGAAATAGCGACGCTAATATGTTGCAAGTTATTGAAAATGATAATATAGATGAGAAAATTCCAATTATTTATATTCTCAGTCTAGTTAGAGTCCGCCATCGTCGGTTAGTGTTCCCGCGCAGTGACGACACTGCGCCTGTAGGGGTGGATTATATCAGAGAGGTCCAGGTTACGTCGTGTCGGTCTTCATATATCCAGCCTGCTCACTAACCCATATATGTGACCCCATATGACTAATAAACTGGTGGACGTACCAACTACTAAGTACCTAATACCAGCCCAGAAAAGAACAAGAAATAGTCATGTCCTAAAATATCAGGTAAAGGTATCAACCAAAGATTGAGGTGCTCAAAAATTTATTCTTTCCTAGAACTATTATAAAGTGGAACTCTCTGTCACCAAGTAAAATTATGGACATATATTATCGTTGGATAGCTTTAATTAAACAATGTTTACAGTTAGATGTAAATGTAGTCAGCTGCCGCCGTGCCGCGTGCCTGCGAAACTGGTGTGTTACGCCGAAGGGCGGTTATACCAGCTATACCGATACAGCTATTCCACCTTCATCCGTCGCAGTTAATATTTTGCTATCTCTGAAAAGCAGGCGTTGGGTCTTGCGCCATTATAGCGCCACGGATCACTGAGGTAAATGGGTAACCTACATGTACACAGACGTGTTCGGTGGTCTATTTGTAGATGAAAAATGAATGTATAACGACTACAAATAGAAAAGAACCTCATTGAAAAGAATCAAATAAAATGCTACTAAGTGCTTTACGGAAATGAAGAGTTTTACAATGTAAACCCAAACCAATATGAAGTAAGAAATCTTAGAACACAGTCAGTTCAATTAAGCCATAAACGTTGTCAACGGTAGCCTCCATAGTATGCCAAAAACTGGGGGTTTTGGGGGTCTCCAGGGTCTTTGGGAGCTTTTATGTGCTATTTTCTGATTGCATATAGACAACATAGCCGGCCTGGTTGAATTACCCCCGTTTTAGAACTGGGCTAATCAGAAAACAGTGGAAGACCACCAAACCCCCAGTTCTATAAGCCTGCTACCCAACGGCATGTTTCAAAGAGGTGTCTTGCACTGAACTTAAATGGATTAAGCAATCTCCAATATTCCATTTAACACCTAATGGACTGAGGGAATAGGTGTAGGTGCTTACGCGTGCGTTTTAACACCCAAATCTAGGCCATGTAAAATCGACAGAGCGGCCAGATTCTGTAAGCAATGGGCCACTTAGGCGACTATAAGGCCTGGTAAACATGGGTTACTAGTAGTCAAGCAAGGCTTGGGGCAGCATCAGGAACATTTTAAGAAAAGACGGAGACATGAAAACGGACTTTGGTGAGGTACGGAAATTGGAATAATAAAATCCTTTTAGGAGTTACAAATGGGAGGAAACACGGAATAACAAACACCTGTTACTAGGGGGACTGGAAACGTAAAAGGTCAATGAATTAGTTAACTCAGCGAGACGCCGATACTAATTTCCGTCTCGTATACGAGGCCATTTCAAACGACCGATGCCATTAGGAACGGTCGTTCGCCATATCGCAGAACGGAAAACTCTTTGGAACACCCCGTCAACATGCACCGTGATGTTTTGTGGCGTGGAGAATTAGGGTTTTAGGACTAGGGTTCAAATCCGAGATTGTAGCTGATTTCAAACCTCATTGAGGGCAGACAGTATAGTTACCTTTGGCCATAGAAGCCCATGGTCAAATACACTAAAACAAGTCCCAAAACAAAATTTGACCACACTAGGAAGGTTTAGACCCTACCTGTTCCTTCTGTCCCAAAAGTCTCCAAACTAGACCAAAATTTTTAAGATAAAAAAAAAGGATTTTCAAAGATATTAACTAGGAAGTACAATTTTGGGGCTTCTACTGCGCAATGCAATTGTGACGTTGGCCCTCGATGGCAGCGACTATATACAAGATGCACGAAATCTGCGAAGCCGAAACCTTTCAGGATTCAAAATCTGAAACTTTGCTGTAATGCAGCAAATTTGAGCTTGGCGACGTATGTGATTATCCCAACATGATGACATCCTGTTTTTGCGGCAGGTCGACGCCGTGTCATGTTCGCTGTAGTAAATTAAAGACCTGGAACGTACGTAGTGCCAAGCTGTCAATTTACACTTCATCAAAAACCTTTCAGAGTTTTAAGAAATCAAAGAAAAATAGGAATCCCATTGACAATTTAAAAAAAGGATGAAATTAAAAGTGACTTTGGCGAGATATAGGCTTTGTATTATCCGTACCGGCTATGTCTGTACTGTACTGTACTTCACCTGGTCCCCAGACCTGAGAGCCACAAAAATATTACTTATACAGTGCCTTACCTGGTCCTCAGACATAAGAGCCACAACAAATTGTTATACGGTGCCTTACCTGGTCCCCAGACATAAGAGCTGCGCAGACATTACCTGTACAGTACCTTACCTGATCAAAATGTCTAATGCTGACTTTGACGTCGGCCTTTTGACCATGGTCAATTCAAGGCCCGAAAAGTTCGTAAAGTCAGAATGCCAATTGGCATATTTGCATTTCTAAGAAAGAATCAGAAACTTTTCGAGATTTGAGAACCGGAAATCCTGCCGGATGTAGGTAATCAAAAGTGAGTTTAGTGAGTTTTGGAGTTCTAATAACTAAAACTTCTTGTGGTTTGACGTCGGATCAGTAATATGAGATCAAAGGCCAGGGTTAGTCGTGAATCCACTCAAAAATTGACATTTCTAGATGTCCAAATTGTACCAAAGAAACGTCAACGGACCAAGGAAGTCCGATGTACAATGACACTGCGAGATTCTTACAGTGACTTTTGCAGTTCTGATAATTGTTATAACTTCAAAACTCCTTATAGTTGATGTTGGATCAATATAAGGAGACCAGAGGCCAGGATTATGCGTGATTTCTAGGATGTCCAAATTGGCCCAACAGACATCAACGGTTCGGGAAATCTGACGTGGAATGACACAGCCAGACCATTATTGTCTTTCAGGTCAGAAAGTCTGACATGCGAACTTAGTCAATTAAGAAATTATGAAGAAACAGAATGGAATAGAACAAAATCAATAGTGGTATGCAGAAGTGCTCTGCGTTTTAACAAGCGAAGTTTTGACCAGCAAGTCGAAATATAAGAAGAACTTAATTGAAGTTTGGGAATATAAATCGATATATATTTAAATCACAAAAATACAACTAACATTTTTTTTTTTGCATTAGATTGCCTGTTGTTCGTATAAAACAGATTCCCAGCAGTATATCATTTCTTTAATGTATTGAAATTGTTTACATCGGAAAAGCGGAAAGGCTTAGATGTAATCCAAGAAATTTACATTGTTATTGGAGCACCGCTTACTCACACTTCAAAACAGGAAGGTAGTTCAGCGTTCTTGTTTGAACAACCCGCTTGCCTCCTGTGTTATTATTGTCAGAAAGTTCCCTGGAGAGGTTATTCATATTTCTGGCGACAAAATGTCTATAGATTCTCAACAACAAAGACATGTTTGATAAGGCCGGTGTCTTTGTACGAGATGGAAAGGGCTCCAATGGTGCGTATACAGAGTGAAATCGGATTGATCGTTATAGAGTTGATAGTGTTCGGAGAGAAAGTATACCCAGAGGTGTATTTAAAGAGCGAAGAGCTTTATGAAAAGGCGCCCGAAAAATGATGACGGATGCAGATATAGACTGGAATTAAAGGGGCGCCCGCAACCACACCGTTTAACGCTTATAGGTCTAGAACGAGCCAAATTCCTCTTATCACATCCAGCCGTCAAAACGACTCTCTTAGTTGGGAAAAGCGTCGGTGAAAGATAAAAGATCGTACGTGTCTTGACGTTCGATAGCCTGCTGGGTGCCATCCTATTTGTATGCCGGAGCTCCCATACTCGCTCCCTAATAAGAAATATTTCTGGAGTGAGTATGGGAGCCCCGGCATACAAATAGGATGGCACCCAGGCTAGGCGTTAGACTGTGCGATGAATAGTATACATGCGCCTTGGGACGATAAGGAACATATTAAGTTAACAAGCAGACGACGAGCTTCAAAAAGGCGCTCTAAAAATGATGACAAATGCTGATATAGACTGTCGAGAACTACTGTAAACTAGAACGAACCAAATCCTTACTCTCCAAGCAGAGGTTTTGGGGAATGATCTTTACCTTTTTATATATGGCCGTTTTTTTTTCAAGTTGTCCTGACCCCCACCAACCGTCGGTGGCCGGCGACCTTCTCTGGCTAATGGATACTGCCTGGCCAATTTGATACTGTCTTTTTGCCACCGAGAGGGATATGCTTGGAGATTACCAAATCCTTGCTTCTAACACCAGACGTCAAAACAATTTATGAGTCTTGACATTCGACTGCGCGAAGAATTACTCCTAACGATGAACATGCAATATACATGCGCCATGTGACGATAAGAGATTGTCAAAGCACGTGGTCAAAGAACATATTATTAAGTAAACAAGACGGCAAATCGTGGCTCCAAAAGTACCTTGACGCCCCTTAACCGAAAGACTAGACGAAGAGCTCTGATTGCCCTCTCAAGATACTATCATAACGAGTCTACGGGGTCCAATTCGTCCAGCTTGTGATATACGAACTAACGCAAGTTGGCGGCCTGAAGTTGTAAAAAAAACTTTTACATGTAGGCGGTCAAGGACAAGTTTAAGGATATGAACTCAAGAAGC